TCTGAATGCATTTAATAACATCAGGCAGATGCAAGTGGTGTTAGAAAGACCAGAAACAGGCTCGAGCTCCTCCCGAGGCGAGACCCTGTATCACGTGGCAGAATCAAGGGGGGATGGACATTCCCACACCGGCAAATTAGTTACTTCTCCCCATGGGAGAGACACCCCTAGCCTGGGAGACAAAACCACCACTGTTCATAGATGCACCAAAACTGTCACCAAGAAAGTTGTTACTGGCCCTGATGGCCCCAGGGAAGAAATAGTTGAGAAAATGGTTTCCTCTGATGGTTCAGACTGCTCCCACTTGCAAGGACTAGGAAATATTGGAGGTGAAGGAAGCACGTACCATATCAGTGGGCCAGATAGCTTCCACAACCTAGGCAGGCTTTTCCCTGACTTAGAGCCCTTTCTTACCCATGAATCTGGATCCAGTGGCAGTAGATACACTAGTGGATCTAGCACCATTTCAACTAGCGGCCGTGTCACGGGGACAGGCAGCAGCCACCTGAGTACTGGAACATCCAGCCACACAGGGTCTTACGGAGGGAAAGACAAATTCACTGACTTAGGAGAGGGGGAAGAAGATGACTTTGGAGGACTCCAGTTTCAGCCTGGATTCTCGTCTAGCAGTGCAAGTCACTCCAAGACTGTAGTTACCAGCTCCTCTTCTAGTTTCAACAAGGGAGGCTCCACTTTTGAAACCAAATCACTAAAGACCCGTGAAATATCTGAGCAGCTAGGTGGGGTGCAACACGATCAGAGTGCAGAGGACACCCCAGACATTCAGGCACGCAGCTTCAGAGCGGGAGCAGTGAAGCAAAGGACAGCCAGCACTGGGAAAGGTACACAGGCTCACAGACATAGCTAATGAGGTAGTGGAGCCAAACTCCATCCATAACCAAACTGACAGGTACTGCAGGTACTGCAGTATAATGATGTGATGATAAAATGCCAGAACTGTGTCTGTTTGTTGCCACCTTGGAAAAAAAGAAAATGAAAAAAAAAAAAAAGAAAGAAAGAAAAAAAAAGGGGGAAATTATATCATTAATATTTGGGTATTACATAGACAATTCAGTTTAAGAAATACGTAACGTTTTCTTCTCTCAATTCTTTTTAACATTGCCTGTCATTATACCTAGCATAGTCCAAGACATGTTTAACAAATTTTCCTCAGAGCTATTGCTACTTGGATTCCTCTGAAGTTTTTATTAAATTTTACCGATAACTCCTGTCAAACCAGATCAACTTTTTTTTTTAGACTGCGATGATATCCGCCAGAAACACACTTCTGGTGCCAAAAGTGGCATTTTCAAAATCAAGCCAGCGGGATCCAATAAGGTTTTGTCAGTTTATTGCGACCAAGACACCACTTTGGGAGGATGGCTATTGATCCAACAGAGAATGGATGGATCAGTGAATTTTAACCGGACCTGGCAAGACTACAAGAAAGGTTTCGGCAGCGTGGATGCCAAAGGGCAAGGAGAGTTGTGGCTGGGCAATGAGAACATTCACTTGCTGACTCAGAATGACACTCTGCTTCGTGTAGAGCTAGAGGACTGGGATGGAAATGCTGTGTACGCAGAGTACATTGTGCAGGTAGGGTCTGAAGCAGAAGGGTACGCCCTCACTGTGTCCTCCTACGAGGGCACGGCTGGGGACGCACTGGTCGCTGGCTGGCTGGAGGAGGGCCCCGAGTACACGTCCCACGCCCAGATGCGGTTCAGCACCTTTGACCAAGACCACGACCGCTGGGAGGAGAGCTGTGCGGAGATGTACGGGGGCGGCTGGTGGTACAACAGCTGCCAGGCAGCCAACCTCAACGGCATTTACTACATGGGGGGCCACTACGACCCGCGGTACAATGTTCCCTATGAGATCGAAAATGGTGTTGTCTGGATGCCTTTTAGAGCCTCTGATTACTCCCTGAAAATCACTAGAATGAAAATCAGACCCATGGACACCTTGTAGAAGGACAGGCATTTATTATATGTGTCACAACTAAAAGATGAAAAGATTTTTCATGTATATGTGCATGACATACCTTGACCCCATGAATGTGAAGGCAACTGGACATACAGCTCGTGGCTTACAAAATAAACACTGATTAATTATTAACAAAATAGTTCTTTCATCTTCTTTATAACTGAAAAACTTTTAAAGGAAATATTGATTTTAAAAAGCTTTTTATATAAACCTTGTCTGCAACCTTTCTATCGGTCCCTTTATAAAACTTCAGTAAACATCTCTCTGATGGACAGAGTACTTCTTACTAACATGTTTTAGGCTTTTCAACATGCTAGACATGTTAAAGGTCAAAAACTCACAAAATGACTATCCCTAACTTATGCCTTACACAATTGTTCCAAAGTGTGAGTGAAAAATTACATTTGTGCAGCAATTTTCTAAAAAGCAGCTTAAGTTTATCTTGATGGTGATTTGGAAGAAGAGTCTTGGGTACGCCAATAGTAGTCACATCAATCTACTGAAGAAATAAGCAATTCAAAGTGACAAATTGTGGTGCTCTTTGGAGCAAGTCAACAGACTGGACTTCAACTTAATAACATTTGCCAGACTTAATCACTTACTTCAGCTGCAGAGAAAAATCCCAAATCCAGGTGATACTTGTATCAAATATGCTGCCTCAAGTCTTATCACAATAATTTAATATTTAAATGTCTGCCTTGCACCTTCCTTCTGAGAACTGTAAAAAAAGCAAAAACATATTTTTTTATCTCTCGGGCTTATTCATTATCACCAGCATAGAAGGTTTCGGGGCTGGATGGTTATTTTATTGCTGTTAGTACTGGATAGATGAGGATATACAAAGTGTACTGCTCATATTTCTGCAGCTACACCACGCATGCAGCAGTAAGCTACCTAACCTTTCATAGGTGTTGAAAATAGATCTTAATCCAGTAATAGCTCTATGTGAACACAAGACATAAGTGGAATAGAATTTGGCCATACAAAGCCTGTAGGGCTAGACCCCTATTTTAGTGAAACCAGCAGGGAGACACTTGCATTATGTCCAGGTTTAGATCTTTTGAATGTGATTTTACTATTTTTACCTGATCTTTTTCATGTTTCTCTCCACTGTTAAGATTCATATTTATGGATAAAATTACACAAGTATTTACTCTTTTTATTTTTTCTATGCTTCAATTGAGAAACAAGCATAAGCAGAATTGCTTGCCTTAAATCTTACTGCTCAGCATTTTTCATACCATTTAACAATATAATAAAATACTGAGAAGGCTCAATTTCAGCCTTTTTTCAGGGCTTCTCAAGCACAACCATTGCATAACATTTTTTGAAATTTTGCTGAAGTGCAGAGACATCTTTACAGCCAGATGCGTGGAGAAGTTTCTACACTTTTGGAAAAGTTGCTTCTGCTTTATGCCATGTGTTTGTTCCCTAGTGTCACTGGAAGCCTGTCTGAGGGGACGCTGAATATTTGCAGTCATGCAGTGTGATGCTGCTATGACATCTCCTCCTTGTTCTCCTGGACTCCAGAGATTAAATAAACATTAGAACTGTAAATGAGAATTTTAGACTGCCATCATAATCAGCTAAAGAATTGTTGAAGGTGAGAAGGGTAGCCTCACTGACAAAAGATCTTGATCTATACAGAGAGTTTGGTCCAAATCACAGATGGGATAAACAGGTCCATTTGGGAACAGGGAACAAAAGGATGACTGTCAGAATAACATTGATACATCTCTGTATTGTATTAGATGCCTCTAGAAAGAAGGCAATTTGCATTGTGTTTGCTTAAACTACCTTTATTATTCACAGGTAATGTACACATGGGTAGGATTTATACAAGGAGATGTTTTGTTTGGAGGGTTTAGCTGGTTTTAATAAAACCTTTTTGCAAATGGCAAAATGTGCTTCTCATCACTGCCCATGGTGTTCCCCCTGCTCAGTCAGCTCACTGGGTCAAGGTGTACCCATGCAACTCAAAGGCAGAGTTCACAGGCAACATGTGTTGTTGAGCCTGGCCATCTTTCTGTCCATAAAGGAAAACATTCATAATAAAAAAGCCAGTATACAGATAGTCAACCTCACTAACTTGCTCTCTTACTGCATGCACAGCACCCCATCTCTCTTTGCTACAATCCGGTTTGTATCTTGCCTGAACTTCCTTCAGCACTTCCAGGTCACAGGCACTTTCCTAGGCTTCTGTGCAAGCAAGCTATTGATCTGGCAATGGGAGTGGAACAGGGTAGTTCCCTCCAAAGCAGCTGTAGTAACAAGCCCCAAAGTCCCAATTACCCCATTAAGTGGTAAAGACAAGGGAAGACTGCAACAGACAGGGGCTGGGTGATTTGGGAGGATGCCAATACAAAGATAGGCAGGACCTGAATACTGTATCTAGCCCAGAGCCTGAAAGCCTCTCCACTGTCCAGTTTGCAGTGTTCTAATGGCTGCACAGGAAAATCTGAGCAGATATAGGGGAAAAAACATCACAGAGTGAAGTGGAGCAGGCTGCCCATCAAGGCTGTAATATTTTCAAGATACTCAAAACTTGACAGGGCAAAGCCCTCAGGAACCTGATCTAACTTTGAAGTTGGCCCTGATTTGAGCATGAACGTGGCCAAGATGCTCTCTAGTGTTTCCTTCAAACCAGAACTAACCTATGACTGGAGTTACTAATTGCTCTTGTCCTGCAACACTGATTGTGTGAAAGACTTACCAGTCAGCTCTCCTAATACTATATAGGATATACTATAAAGACTGTGGGATGCTGGAAAGGATATTATGAGGTATGGTATGCAACTGAGTTTCTGTAAAAGGGCATATTTAATCCAGGAAATAGGATGTGAACTAAATGACTGTTAACCTACAGATTTTTTAGATATATATTTTTTTTACTTTATTCCTTCTCAGCTTGTTACACAGGTAGTTACCACATCTTTGTGATATAAAAGAAGCAAAACAGTGCTTTCTTTGGTGAAATGTATTTTCTTTTCCCCCAATAATGCTTAAAGACTTAGAAATTGTGGAGAAAAATTCAGTTTTAAGGCTTTATTTATTTTTTTTTTAGAAAACATTTTATAATAATCCTCTTCCTTTTCAATTTTGATATGGAACTTCTTTGTAACAGAGTGAAACAAGTATACATATACATATTTTATCGGACATCTTCAAAACCAGTACTTCTGTCTTGTGAAGAAATGAAAAATGGAACAAAATACACTAGCGGCTCATTTTCATAGTTCAGATTTTGATTTTCACTTGCCATTGCCTTTCACTTTAGGTCAATATATAGTCCTACATATGCATTTGGTTCTCATATGTAAAGACAAGCCTGAATACCACATTGAAAAACATAACCAGGTACAAATATGAAAAGAAAATCCCTGTTTCTTTACACTTAGATCACTTTTATAGCAGTTAATCTGGGAAGTATGGCTTGATTTTCATGCTAATCTTCTTCATTGAATACCATGACCCTTTCCAGTTCATCCATACAATACCATCATCTGTACCATGTTTTGCCATATCCCAGCTGTAGGACCCTCCCCAGTAGTATCTGCCATTGGGGTTGGCTGCATGGCAACGATTGTACCACCATCCACCACCATCTTCTTTGGAGCACTGTTTTCTTGAATCTGTAGTTAACCTGATGATGTAAAAGGAACAGTTAAGACAGATGAACAAGCAAATAGATGAGAGTGCACGCACATGTCCCTGTACTGAAATTTTCAAACCACAACAAATATTTAAAATTCTTCTCTGAACTTTATGTAAAAGATTGACCATTGCAAGCACGTGCTATACAGTACACTTGGAACATGAAGCTGCTATGAGAAATAGGTAAAATTTTATCTGTATCTCTTTTAGAATGTCTTTTTAGTTTACTAAATGATAAATAAAATTACTTGCAGTTCATAATGCTAACTGCAATATCAATTCAATTTAGGGATATTAGAAATAATGATAATTGTATGTTTTCCCAAATCTAAACAATTCCTTTATTCGTAAGTAGGCAATCGGGTCTTAAGATAGACATATAGCATATATTTTAGAGACAGAGTGCTGAATTACATCCTTTACAAATGAGCTCCAGTCTTCTGAGTAGGCTTTTTTTTTTTTTTTTAATAATCTATTCCCTCAAGACTCATTACTGTGTTACAGGGGAGAGTACCAATATTCCTACTCAAGCGAGACAGTGCTTAGGACAAGAACTGCCACCATCAGGTTCTGATATTGAGAATATTGTACCAGATTTGCCATTTTGTCTCTGGTAACATCATTCATGTACTCAAAATAATTCAGTGTGCCTGCTCCTCACATGGCTGTGGAGCAGTGCTACCATAATATAGTTTTACCTGCCCTTTAGCTATGTCAGTTCTGCCATTGGCTACACCAGTGGGACAGCGTGAACACTTGGTTAGTAACTTGCAGTGAGAAACTTATTTTAGGTTACTATGAAATGCTGTGCAAACTAGCATCAAAGTAGAGAAATATTCTATATTTCTCTTAAGGAGAGACATATGGTCTTATAATTAATTTCTTTTAACTGTCTAATGTGGTTACATACCATCCATCATTGTCTCTGTCGTAAGTACTGAAGAACATGCCATTGTGAATTGTCATTGTCCTGTTTTCTCCATACAACGTTGAAGCTCCTTCCATCAGAGCATTGCCTGCATTGCCTCCGTAGTTACTAACTGAAAGCTGGTACTTGTTTCCTTCATTATGTATGGTGAAACCTCCATAGCGAGCTGATACTTTATCACCATTCCAATCTTCCATTTCAATTAAAACTTTAGTGGGCCCTATCTTGGTAAGTTGGCTGATTTTGTCATTTCCAAGCCAATATTCACCTGAGAAGCAATAGACAAGAGCTCTGTGAAATTGATTTCACAATATACTTCAAGGTAACTTTATGATTTGCCCACGTCTGCCAAAGCAGATTGGTTAATTTTAAAAAGTCAAAATGCTTCAAGAAATATGAGAAAACAGTTTCAGTAAGAACTCTTCATGTTTCATGCTCGGTGTTTTACCTGGTGTATCACAGTAGTTCTTCCCTCCACTCTTTGCAACATTTCCAAATCCTTTTTTATATTCATCCCACGCTCTTCCAAAATTAACACTGCCATCCTGGCGGTTCTGAATCAAAGTCCAGCCTGCAGGAGCAACAGTATTTAGATTAATTTGCTCTTATGAAAGGAGCATGAAACATTAAGATACAGCCCTTCTATCATCATCTCATGGATGATGTGACTTCCTTGCAGCAAGTATGAGTTTTCACTGTTTATGAATTCAGCCTTGCCATTTTTACTCACTCTGAAGGGGTGCATTGCTTCATGAGCAAATGTGGAAAAAACATAAGGTGAAAGAGTGACCCAGTTTTTTTTTGGCTAGCATGTAGTAGCAGGGTAGGAAATGAGCCAGACCCTCCACTTCTGCCCACCCATTGTCCATTTTAGCCATAGTAAGTATTCACCAGTCCCTTCCCATTAATTTATTTCCAGTTTCATTATAAAATGTCCTGCAGTGTATCTGAAGATGACCAACAAGACTTTCTTGAATTAGTCAGACTTAATTCTCAAGTAACTACAAAAATTGCAGTTCAGTATGTGATTGTTTAAATTGCAAGTTACTACTTTTTTTTTTTTTTTTTTTTTTTTTTTTTTTGTGGAATTCTTATTAATTAATATTTTAACAACGTTGTTATTTCACACTAACCTCCATCATCTGTTTCCATGTCACAGTATACTCTGTATGGTCTGACGAAAGGATCTGGTTGGATGAGGTACATTTCAGATGTTTCACCTCCCTTTCTGAAAATATCCTCACATTCTGCAAGAATAAACCAGAGACTCTGTTACTGAAAGAGTGCCAAACTCCTTGGTTTGCTGATTGCAAGGGAACAATTTTAAAGATGCATTTATGTACTTTGATTTTGATTTCCATACTACATTGTATGAAAGAAGCAAGGAAGAAAGAACAGCATACGTGCATTGCTATACTTTTCTAGATAAGAATTTCTAAAAGCTCAACCTGAACAACTGAAGACTATTTATATTTTAATTACTTTTTGAATTGGACAAGCTTGTAAAAAGAGAAACTTTCTTGATTGAAAAAGTAAAGAGTACAACTATGAGAGTCACAAATGTATTACCTTCACCTCACTGAAGGTGAACGTGGTTTACCTTACCTCTTCAAAATGCTATTGGCCAATGATGATGACCAGTTATTAGATGAGGAAATCTTTGGTCTGACCAGTACAGGTCAGTCAAAAGATTTTTTCATATTGGATAACCATCTGTCTTTTCTGCTATCCTAATCAGCGTCATAGGTTTCAGAGCAACCAACTCACACCACCAACAACTGAATGACGTGTTTATCAATATGCATAGTGATATAAATGTGAGAAGAAAGAGATGTTATTATAGTTAAATGAGTACCTTTGCCTGTAACCACCGGAATATTACAGGAAGCAACGCATGGGGAACGGCAGTAGTCTGTTTGGGTTGCAATGGCATTTTCCAGTTTCTGGATCTTTTTGTATAAAGTTTCCGTGACTGCACGAAGGACCCTGAGGCTTGATGGGATGTTATTGTCCAGATTATCCTTTATATAATTATAATGCAATTCCACTTCTGTGTTATACTCAGAAAGTAAAATATCATTGTCTAGAAAAACAATTAGATCAGAAGCAGATTAATTTTCAATGTTATGAAAAAGTCAAGAGCAATCTGTAAGCACAATCTGAGAAGCCACTTGTTTTCTCAGTGGGGAGGAAGGATATACGTGTCTTTTGATTACCTTTGCACACTGTGCAAAAACAGATTCTTGGAAAATTATTACATGTGCACCATTATTTCTTTGCAAGCTCATAGATTTATCAGTGTCACTATATTCTGCCAAAGAACTATAACTAGCTTTCTCTCCAGAGAGCCATGGTGCCAAGCCAGGATCTGGGCATAAAGGAGTTGGATGGATCAAAGGAGTTGTCAGGAATCAAAGAATTGGGAAGCAGCTAAGAGAGGGGACAACCCTTACAGTTAAAGGCCTAATAAGAATCTTGCTTCAGTATCCATTCCTTTGACTCTCTGAAATTATTTTTTTAAAAGATTTAAGATGGCAGAGTTATGGAACCCTACTTTGCTAGATATCCTACTGCATTTTCAACATTTTTAAAAAGTCCTCTTAGCAAGTAATAGTAGCAGCGTCACTAGAACTATAATATCATTTACATTATGATTCATAACAACAGCATACCTTTTCTTTGTTTCTGTGTCTTTATCAGTTTATCATCTATCATATTCACATATTGATAGAAAGTTGTAGAAGTATCAGAAAATTTGGTCACTTTGTCTTTTAGATCACGAATAACTGATGTCACAATCTTTTCTTGTTTTACCAGTGCAGTTTGCAGTTCACATCCAGTTGGACAGAGTACTCCCTTAAAAAAAAAAAAACAAAAAAAAAACAAGGGCTGTGTATAAAAATCAAGTAAAAAAGAGAAGTTTCTAAACTAGTCAGTGAAAGGACATAGCTTTGAAAGCATTGAATAGTTAGTAATACGTGACCATATATTTAGGCATCAAGGTACAGGCTTAAGATATTTAACTTTATGAAGAAGCTGCAGTGTGAAGGGTAGGAAGGTGTCTTGAGTATCCCCAACAGGACTCCTGTTGGAGCTCTTTGGAAAAGGCCTCTCTTCACACTTTTGGGTCCACTAACTGCTTTTCACTTTTCTGCACTGCTAAATGTTCACAGTGTTCAGCCACCTGATCCATGACTAGAATCTGTCAGGAACTAGCTGGTGTTCATGCATGTTTATATCTACCCCTTCCTCTTTCACTATCCTCAGAAAATCAACCATGTTCTCTATGCCTTGGTTATGTATGTCTCTCTTGAAATGGCCATGTATGTTTCATTAAAAAATGATTATGTCAAGAACTGTGAGCACTATTGCTTCTTTAACAAGAACTGCACTGACTTCAGTCACTGGAGCAGTGACTGAATGTAGACTATAATTATGGTTTGAAACAAATTTTAAGATGTGAGTTTTTGGAGCCCCTTGAGATTACCTGAAATCCAAGCCATCTCTTTTGCAGAACTTTTTTTCTGTCATTCTTAATAGTCACCTATGCAAGCCAATGGGTAAATCTCAGGCTAACCCACAGATGCTTCCTTTCCTCATTTGTGGTTTGAACCTTTTCTCTCTCCCCTTACTCACTGTAGGCTGTTTGTCTTTGTGACTATCCCATGGACTCTATAGCACTGCACTTCTGAATGAAGCTCTACCAAACCCAAACAAAAAGACATTAAGTTTTGCTGCTTTAAATGAAAGATCATTCTGTGTTTGGCAAAGAAAACTATTGTTCAGCACACTAGAAGGCTGTTAACAACCGTGCCATCCTCCATTTCTGTTTAGACAGGGAGACACCTACCAGCTCCTCGAGAGGATGCTTGCAGCCACCAGCATCAGGATAGATGATACGTTCCTTCTTGCTGCCCTGCTTATCCGGCTTTCGTGGCCGGGGCTGGTACCCAGTTCCAGAGATGGGAGGTGCCACGGGTCTGAGCGTGGGGGCCGTTTCTCGCCTTTTGTCTAGGGGTCGGTGGCCTCGAGCCTCAGGTACAGTGCTTTCGTCCTGCAAAGCCAGGGGAGAGGAAGCTCTCTTGAGTCTAGGATTGCTATTGCAAAATGCTATGCACAGGATGATGGTATCCATTCAGCACTCTATTTCAAACAGCAAAGAAAATTGTGGATTGGAATAGAAACAGCATCAGCTGAAATACAATACTGACATTATGTACAAATTATCACAATGTTTTTCCTTGTAAAAGCAGTCATACTCTCTTCACCTAGGGATAGACAAGCTAAAAAGCCTTTAAACCAAAGCAAAACGATAATTCAATGTTTCATTCTGACTAAGGAATAAAGTTGATATAGCTCAGAGCCACTGAGAATCATGAAACTTTAAGTGGTGAGATTAAAAGAAAAATGTTAGAAATAAGAGGGGTAGGAAGAATATTCATCATCATGTGAATATTCAGTGTCCCAGTGGCTTAATCAAGAAGATTGCTCAGTCACAGCCCTCCAGCCAGGTTTTTAGAACTTCTTTGGATGCCCATGTTCCTCCTCCCTCCCAGGAGCAGGAACAACAACAGCCCCCCGCATCCCATGCTGTGTTTTTGCCAGCAGCAAAGGCTTACACATCGTCTCCTAAGAAGAACACTACCCCTGTGAGGCTTACGTATAAAAATCGGCAAACAGAAACACCATCTTAACAATTTCATTTCTTCGAGAAACTTCCATCCTAAAGTTTATCCTGAAAGACTAGTAAGTCAAGCAAGGAAACTAAATTATTTGTTGAAATGAAACCTTCAATAATTAGTTGTTTGAACAATTGGATCAAAATCTTTGATCATGTCCAATCCCACTCGGACTTAACTGCAAATAACAAACATTTGTAGGCAGCATGCGAATTTCTGAAAATGATTTAGTGTGGTAATCTCATCAATAATCAATGTACAGACATATACATTTATGTTGTATAACGGAAAATAAACTAATTTCTGGTCACCTGACCCTATTTCTGACCTATTTCATTTTTGCAGGGATTTCCAAAATATAAAAACCATTCTGAAATTATAAATCAAATTTCCTAATAAAACATTTTACTTGTTGAAAACTAAACACAAGTTAAATTATTTTAGATTGATCCTCATTGCTTACCTTTTGGTTTAACTATCACCTCTCCATTTCAAATACAAATCTGGCAGTTAATGATCTGGTGGCTAATTTATTTTTCCCAATGTCTACTGAATCTATAGTAAAATTGTTCCTGTCTTTCAGACAGGACATGATTAAATACACGTTTCTATGCCTTTGCACATCACAAATGAATTGTCCATAACATGTCAAAATTGCTACATAAATATCCTTAAATAAATTTAGCTGAATGACTAATCTTACCGTTCTTCATTCTCTAAAGAAAGGAAAGAAAGTATATCCAAAACCAGAAAATAACTGCTGCACTGTTAAATACCTATGAAGAAATAACTGAAAGATTATTTCTCTGAGGAGAAAAAGAACACACACTGTATAATTTTCTAACTTAGCTAAATCACATAAGCCAGGTAAGTCATGCATGCAATTAAATAAAATTAATAATTTTTACTCTTATTATTATTAATTCCAATCAGTATTACAACCTCATCATCGTAATCAGTAGAAGCCTGGGATTTAATGAAAGGAACACAGAGCAGGAGCAACAGGAGCAGCTTCATGGCGCTGGCTTGCTTGAGCTGCTCGGTGACCCTCTCCCATCAGCAGCTCTGACAGGGCAAGATCCTCTCTGTTCCTATATATACAGGTGGCAACCCCAATTTCCAGCTTGACACTGATAGGTCCAACCGTTCAAAGCAATCACTGCTTTCCTGTTAACATTTAACATTTCTCTTCTCTGTGTGCCTGAATACATTTGATGTTGAGCAATCTCTCTGGACATCTCTTATCTACGTGTCCCAGAGACCTCTGTTGCTGCTGGCATGAACTAAATGTTTAAAAACTTAAAAGTACCTCCTGCTCAGATTACACAAGTTACCATGTTCTCAAAAATTACGAGTCTTACAAGACTGAAAAAAAAAAAATGACAGCTGAAAAGCTGAACGTTCAAAGAAAAGAAATGTTGTCAAATATTGACTGTGACATCTCCTTGCTTATTTTCTCCCTGATGAAAATTTGGATGCTTCAGCAATAGCATATTGAATTTGAATTAAACTCACCTCACACAGAATGATTCACCCTTCTAAACAGTTGTAATAGCACCTGGATATGCAAGCCTTTGGGTCTTATTAAGTACAGTACATCTGAGTAAACATATTAATTTGCTGTTTTCCTTTTTAACACAATAAGTGTATATGTCATAGCCTTTATTTAAATACTTTTAATAATCTTTTAAAAGAATATGGTATGAAGTTATTTGTAATCATAGTGGGTCACACTTTCTGATACTTTTTAAGAATATGGCATATCACTGCTCTCATATTAGCAGTTTTAACATTTCAGTGCCTGCATATTCTATAATTTCTGCATGTATTATGGATGATTGTGTTATGCTGAATTAAATCTAAGGTGCAGAATGAAAGTCTGCACACTTTTTTGAAGTCATTCCTATTGATGTCTGAGGACATTAGCAGAGGCAAGCCATGGGCTGAGCTTCCCTTTCAGAGACCAACTTGATGGAGCAGGAGATTTTGTGATAAACAAATAAAAGAACAGCTAAAATGGCTTGTTTTAGTCCTTTTTCCTGTATTCATGCCATTGTCAGAGTTCTGGTAAACTATGGGGATTCCTGAAATATGAAAACTGTTTAACCTGATGGGTTTAATCATTAAACAGCTTGGCCCCAAATGAGCCATGGCTCAGGAAGCTCTCTTACTCCCCTGAATATGATCCCATGTATAAGGACGTCACTTACACTAACACTATTAGCTTTGGAAGAACACAAACTTATCCCTATAGAAATTAAGGAAGACTGTCTGTGGCCAAATCTGACATCATCAATGTGTTATTTCTGTGTAAAGATGCCAGCCAAGATACCGTACGCCCTGTCATCACTGGTTCTGGGCATCTCCCAGAACCTTAAATGCAATTTGCCCCACACTGTGCCTTAAGGAAAGTTCAGTAACCCTTATTTTCTGTATAAGGAAGGGGCACAGTGATGCTGAGCCTCTTGCCCAGGGCTTACAGGTACTGGGCCAGTGGAGAACTAAAACGGTGTCCCACTAGTCCTGAGTTAGGAACTTGGCCATAAATTATCTTGCCTTGGTCCATACAAATCTTCATGATATTTGTCTTGAATTCATTCTGAAACAACCACTATGTTCTGCAGTAGCTCATGGTGTCCTTCCTCAGGCACTCTTTGCATGTGGTGGCCAAAGGTGGCTATGTCCATGCAGAGCCTGTCCAGCACAAGTGGCAGGGATTGGCACAGGAGCTGAGCCTGCTGCAGCGTCCCAGCACAGGAAATCCCCAATTTCATCTGCCTACGGATGGGATTTCCCCTTTGAAATTCAGCCTTTGACCCTCTCTGCTCCAGTGCTTTTCCTTGGCTACCCCATGAGGGTTAGCCAGTAGTATCTCCCCAGGGAGTTACCAGGAGCTACAACAAATGAACAACACACGTCTGGATTGTGGAGTTGGGTCAGTGAGCAAATGCCCCAGCAGGGGTTGTACAGGGCCTCAGCTGGTAGGGGGAGGCTGGGCCTGCACCACAAAGGTTTTCCCTGAAGAGGCTTTTCAGCAATGCTGTGCCTGTACAGGAACACAACTTATGCTGACAAAAAATAAATAAATAAATAAAATGCTTCCAGTGTGACAGTCTAAATCTGGAACTGCAGAGTGAGCAAGGTATACTGGCAAACATACATGCATGTATCAAAATATTTTGGCAACAGAACTTAATCTACATGGGTTAGCTTGCTGGTTATGAGATGGGATTTTTATTTCATGCTTGCAACCATTACAGCTAGGTTGACACTTTATAAGGACTGAGTATAGCCTTACGAAAAGCAAAGAGCAGGGCTTAAATTTATCCTAAAAATGGTATGAAGGAGGCTTTATTTTCCAAACAGGACACCTGTTGGTTTTTTTTCCTTGTGTTTTCCTCATATTCTCCCCAACACACATGGTTAATGCGAAGAACTTCCCAGACTCATGTCGTCGTGATACCACAACAAACTTGCTATTAGGAACTGTAAAAACAAAACATTGATCTGATGGTGTTCCAGGACATCTCTTTGTACAGTGCGCTTGTCCTGGAGGGCTACTTACGGGCAGAGGTGTATGTGTGCTTTTAGGAATGAATATTTGTTTGCCGCTTCTCGTGTTTGTTCTGCCGATTTGGCTGCCCATGGTGCAATACTCTTTACACAAACCCCCATCCTTGAATCTTGGCTCTTCCAAGCTGAACGTGTCCCTGAGGTGGTCTTGGTGAGGGGGAACAGAGACTTCTTGGGCCGCTGACAATCTGTGATGGTTACTAAATTAAATTTAAAAAGACATCCAGTTGATTTAGAAATGTTCTCTGAAGCCGCTAGTGTTGTAATAATGTCATACTGTGACAAGAATACTGTGGAATTAAATGTTCATCTCTGGTGTCCTCTTTTGCTCCTTTTACCGGTAAAAAAAAAAAAAAAAAAAAGAATTTCAAGGATTTCTTGTAAATGAGAATTAATGTTACCTTCATATTCTGTGAGTAAGCAAGTTCTTAAACATTAATGAGGAGGGCTGTTCATTTTGATCTTAAAAACAGCACTGAAAGCATATTCAGTTTACCAGTCATCTCTTCCTTAGTGGTCATTTATTAAAAATAAAATAAAATAAAATAAAATAAAATAAAATAAAATAAAATAAAATAAAATAAAATAAAATAAAATAAAATAAAAAAATTACATAGTTTGTTATTCCTGGAATTAGAGCTATAGCTGACATGTAAGAACGCATCACGTAGTTGATGTATTGATTGATTAAAAAAAAAAAAAAATTCAAAAAGTTGATTCAAAAAATGAATAAAGTGAATATTCTCATGAATATTGCTGACATGATTTATTGAAGATCTTGGACTATATTTCAACTTAGAATAAATCTGCTAAAAATAAATGCAAACATAACAGATTAATTTGACCTCTGGCTTTCTAAAGCATTGCAAGGCGTGTATCATTGTACATCGCTGTACTTTATCCATTGGCAGAGATTAGCCCTTAAAACATTTCCACATGTCAGATTCAGTAGTCAAGCATTACTTTTTGAGTAAATTTGTGTTTTATTGTTCGAAATCCCTTCCCTCTAGATCTCCTTTTACACCTTGTGTCTCCTCCATCTCGGGGAACTGCTATGGGAGATGAGGGACGTTTGTGGCCCACCGCCATCCCCAGCATCCGAAATGGATGCAAGGGGCATCACCCCGGTGGTGGAAGCCACCAGCAGCACGTGTAAAGCTAAAGTGACCAAAAATGATCCATCAGTGCCATGAACGAGAGGAGATGGTCGTTGTGTGAAGCGGGGAGGTTGCGTGAGGCAGTGATCCCAGGCTGCCACCCCATGGCTCACGAAAGGGGCAGGTCTGCGTGCAGCTCCACGTGTGTGTTTGCTTATTTGGCTTACACAGGCAAGTGGGAGACCTGCCAGGGCATCGGGATACGGTGTGAAACGATAAAACTTGCACAGCGGCCGCTGACTGCTCTCAGCAGTGCCACACCGCACCCGCGCGTCGGGCCCCGTCACTGCAGCCTGGGGGCAGGGGCGGGACTCGAACCCGCGACCTCAGCCCAGCCCAGCCCAGCCCAGCCCAGCCCGACTGCGCTGCGGCCCCGCCCCACGCTTGGCTCCGCCGCCCTCCTTCCCGCGCGCACTTAGCGCGTCGCTTCCGGCTCGGCGTGGGGGAAGCGTCGGAAGTGCCTCCATTGCGGGCGGCGGCGGGGGGCGAGGAGGAGCGGCGCCATGGTGGAGGTGCGCTGCGGGTGGGGGGCTTGGGGTGCTGGGGGGGGGGTCACCGACACTGGGGGTGTTCCAGGGAAGTCACACTGTGCGCAGAGGCTGATGGTTGCCCCTGTTCACTTTTCTGGAGTTTGTGAAATAAAACTTGAAGGGGTCTTTTCAGACTCAGTTGCTGTGCTGTTTGCATATAAAAACACCTGGAAAACATGAAGGAAAACATTTGCACGTTCGTGCATTTGTCATATAGGTGCTAGTGCTGAAAGTTTGATCTAAATTTTTGGCTTAGGTAACAAGTATAAGATAGTATATAACAGTTTCCAAGGGGAGTGGTGTTTTTTGTGAACTAAACAATGTCATCACATCATCTGTCTGATGCTGCTGAAGCCTGAAATTGCTACTCAATTCAGTTTTTGTTTTGGTTTTCAAATTTTCATTTAATCATGGCTGAATTTATTTAAACATGCTTTGCTTTATTTTAGGAAGTCCAGAAGCATTCTGTGCACACGCTTGTGTTCCGGTCTTTGAAGAGGACCCATGACATGTTTGTAGCTGATAATGCCAAACCTATACCATTGGATGATGAAAGGTGAGTACTGCGGTCAGTGAGTTAGGAGCGTGCCTCAAAGTTTTGTACTGTTCGCGATTGCTCTGTCCTATTGGCAAATTCAGATGTTTCCTTCTACACAATTAGCAATCTAGTGCTGAGGGAAGGAAAATAAAAAAAGAGGATTGTAAATTAAGTTGTATAAAACGTTTTCTGAAATATTTCAGAGCTTATTAACAGTAAAAGTCAGGATTTAATCAGGGTTGTGCTTTGTTCTTCCAACAGCCACAAAGTAAAGATGGCAGTCAAACTGCGTACAGAGTATGGC